CCAGTTACTCTCAATACTCCTCCATTCAGGAAGTTTGCCATGCTGAAGGTTCAGCGAGCGTTGCGTGAGGGGCGGCCTGCTGATGCTATGGGCCTATACCGAGCTTCTAGAGCCATGTGGCTATCTGATGGTAATTCTCAACCTGCGAATGCGTTACCTTTCTACCAAAGGAGGATAATTAGTGACAATAGCTCCTCAAAATGAGAGGCTTACCTGTAAATGCGCCTCAAAGCGCTGATTCCAAATCGTTCATTATCTGCCAAACCATGCTTCTACAAAGATTCATGGATCTTTCCTTCCGCATCAAACTCGCACTTTGGCATATATTGTTCAAATACTCAAATGCGCCCCAATTATGTTATGGAAAGCTCAGTTATTGAAAAGATTAGATTTTACCACCAAAAATGCGCTTCATCCTTTGGGTGATTGGTGAGTTTTGGCCATTTCTTATGTAGAAGGCAGGTTGAAATCATCCCTTTAAGTCGCATCTTGTAGTACGCTTCTTTTTAGGCGTTTTTGGAGAACCAGATATGGATGCAGAAAAAGAGATGGCGGAGTTACGCGAAGTCTTCTTCGCAGACCTTAACCAGGTATTGAAGTTATTAGGTGTGCTTTTCCAAAATGTTATATCCGTTTTTAGGTTGCCAAACAACTTCTTGATGCAGAGATAGCAGCACAGAAAAAGTTTACAGAAAGTTCACTTATAGATGATGGAGACGAAGAAGGCTTCTGCACCGATGAAGATGAGGAGGAAGAGCCTAAATATGAAACGAAGGAGGTGTATATTCTTTCTTCCTCTTGAGTCCCTGGATGCACAGCGTTAATATGCTCATATGCCTTTTTTCAAAAGAGATACCAATTCTGTTTAGATAGATTTTGACTTCAATGACTATGTTGGGAAATATGCCAAGACTGAGGTTTTGCGGTGGTAAGTTACAGCTCCAGTAATTACGGAATTTCTTCAAATTTGTGGTTTTTCTTTATATTAGAAACTACTGTTTTGAATAAACATCATCGAAACACTTACTATACTCCTAGATAGTTCTGCGGATATCATTTACTGTACATTTTATACTTATTTATCTTCCGATTATAGTTGCAATTTACGACGTATTGAGCTTCGCCTTTTCAGGTATGTTTTTCTTTTGAATGACTTTGCAACAAACTCAGCTGAACTGAACAAGGCTTTGGTAAAGCTACTCCACCGCGTTGCTTTCGATTTGAAAATGCCTAGCAGACTGTTTCAAGTATGTTTGGCGACACTTATTGTTAGAATACATTGTGAACTTTGGCACCTTTATATTTATAATATGCTAAGATCGAATTGCAGTTGTCCTTATTTCGTATTCTTGCTCAAGTGCGAACACATTTTGATGGAGTAGCAAAAGAGGACATGAAGAAGAGTAGATTTTTTGAACTTTACACTTTTGGCTACCATTTACTGAGGAAGTGAGCGGTTTTATGTCTACATTATCATGTTTTGTATCTCAAATTGTAACAAAGATAGTTCAAAAAAGTTCGCCACAGATTCTTCGCCTGCTTTCAAAAGCTTGGAGACAAGATGTGTCCTGAAATCCTCTTCTGGAAAGGTGCCAGAGAGTGTTACGAGATTGAACATGGTTACGGCACCTATGAGTGAGTTTTTCTAAGCCCCTACAGCCCCTACTATACGCAGATGATTGTTCTTAGTGAGGTTAAGAAAAATAAGAAGGATGATGGAGCCTGGACATGGAATGAGGATTTGGAGGAAGAACTACGCTCACTTTACAACGAGTACCGAGACATGGATGAGAGGCCGGAAGGTCTGCATAATTCTTTTTAATTCATCAAAAAAA